CATTGAAATTTCGTACAGACAATTACAAATTTTTAGCGACAAGTTTAGCGGTCAAAGGTTTTACGACGAAGGAAGATACTTTGAAATTTGATAAATTTCAACGCCAACAAGAACGTAGAGGTATCGTACTTACGATACGAAAGGTGTGACGAAACTGTCAATTGCCAATTTTGATGAAACTTCTAGTCGGAATAGCGTTCTGAAAAATATTTGGCCAATATTTTTCTTTGTCGATCGTTTGCCATTTTAAATAGCAAAAATAGCCCTCGATGTTACGGTCGAAAAAAATGTTTCTTCCGATATATTGAAAACTATTCGGACTAGAAAAAAAAAATTACTTTCAATATTTTGTCAAAAAATATTTTTCTGCAAAAGTTTCGTCAAAAACTGTTTTCATCGATGTTTCGCGTATCATTTAGAAAACTGCAATACTTTGTTCGAAAGTTTCATCAACAGTTGTTTAAGCAGAAGTTGTGCATTTTTGAAATTACAGATTCGCGTAGCTGCGATATTTCCCCGTAAATTAATTTCGCTAAAACGTTCACCAAGAAGTTTGAGCAGAAATTTCTCCCTGTGTATTTTTTCTTTTTTTTTTTTTTTTAATAAGTAGTTGCAATATTTCGCCTAAATGGCCAATAATAATTAGGAAAGCCCTCTTGTAAAATTCATAAAAATCCAAACCGACTACCATCGACTGAAAGTGTTACTAACCAAGAAACGACGAAACACCGATTCGCAAGCTGTAACCCATCAACATTGCCATAATTCTTCGTCTCGATCCGTAGCAAAAATTGAAGCAGCAAAGTTATTCTTAAAGACCATGGCACAAGATCCGGAACAGACGTCACGCGATGAGACTAGGAGACGTTCTTGCGCGATCTGTCGCGAAGATTCATCCGCGTCGAGAAATTCGGTCGAGAGAAATTCATAAAGATCCATTTTTCTTACACGATGCCGCTCTTAATATCTTCCGCAAGCTTCTCTTTTATTTCAACGGGGACTAGGTAAGTCGAGAGAGGATGGCAGAAGGACGGATGGAACGAGGGATGGAAGTCGGAAGGAAATAAAACGCGCGCAGGATTGCGACTCGTAACCGAGTTTGCCTTTCAGACCAGCGAGTTTTAGGCAACGGGGGCTGAATAACGTATCAGACAAGTGACAGGAGATTGCTACGAGGTTACAGGCTGGTTTATTTAAGAGATGACGCGCCCTTTCAGTCGGAGGAAGACGGTTATAAAAAGATTACTATTTGAAAAATCGATAAATAAATAAGCGATGATATAGTTTGAAATATACAGGTGATCCGCGAGTCGCTTTTCCTTTTAAGAGTTACATAACTTTTTTCTATCGCATATCCTCGAAACGTTTGCCTCCGATTTTTAGTTCGTTTCTGAGAAATTTACAATGGAAAAATTCACAGCTGACAACGAGCAACGATATTTATAAAAGAGAATATCGCGTTTCTATCCGTTTGCTTGGTGTTGATATCTATAAAATGCAGAAACTACTTGCTATTTATGAGACGAAGAATAAAATCCGAAAAACATGATGTTCTCTGCTGTGAAGTTGAAGTCACGCGCGATTAATTCTGATAATTAAGATTCTACTGTATTTTTAACGCTATAATAATCTGTTTTTCTTTAAATCACGGAAACTTGGTTACGATATTCTTCTATGCAGGTTCTATTAATTTTGTACATTTTTCGTACTTCGATAAAACAATATCTAATTTACTCTTTCTACGTTTTTCCTATGTTTCTTTATATTTTTTGCGTCTGTACGATATTCCAACTAGTACGAACTGTTTCGCTGGTGGATCTTTAATGGGTTAATGGAAAACGGATCGATGCGTGAAGATTGTTCTACGGGATAGATGTTGCTGTTGGATGATTTGTATTATCGGCCACGAGGACGCGTTCGTTGGAATGATTGTCTCGGCGACGAGCTCATTAACGCTTCGAAGAGGGACGCCCATTGAACCGATGGAAAAATTGGATGCAATGCGGTGGTGTGCATCCTGCATAGCTGCTTCACGGAGTAATTTTCAAGTACAAAAGAGAATATTGCCGTGTCTTGACACAGTAATTGCGAGATTAATCGATTCTCATGATAGAAGTATGTAATTTAACAAAAAAGTAGTATATGCGTTTACGATGAGACAAGAATCGTGATATTGTAAATAAGAAATTACAAATTTTTACTTTAATATCGCTTTTTTACTCTCGAACGTATCATTCGTTTAGTTAATTCTTTTAGGTTCGAACTTTTTTTAATCTGTAAGAAAAACTGTCTTCTATCGATCATTGGGATAAATTGTTTAAATATTTATATACAACCCTGTCGTAAAATTTTATTGACTCGTATTTGCTCTATGATTAAACATTTCTCAATGGTCTGGCTGTTTAAAGATTCCTTAAGTGGTATTAAAAAACTTTCAATGACATAAAATGAGATTTTTCTTCGCGACAAATGACATGGATTTTCTTTCATAAGGTATACTGTATCAAACACGATACATCAAACGCTGTAGCATCGTTGCGAATTGATATCAATACTTTTATCGATCTTCTCGACAATTCGTCATTCTTCGTCGCTTATATTGAAAATTCTTGCAACAATGATACAATATGGCAAACGATGCTGAAATATCCAACGCAAAGCCACTCTGTTTGTAAAAACGAAGCAAAGAAATTCATGTTTAGACGATATTCGATGAGATGATTAATCGATATCTCCTCTATTAACCCTAAACTTACTCTTCTTCTTTCTCGACGAATAATTAATGATACAGCGGCAAGATACGAGAACGAAATAAATTAAAACGTAGAAATTTAATTCCCTTGCCGATTATTAATTACCAAATAATTAACAAGCAGATAAAATAATTAGTATCAATTAGTTTAAAATCCGGAGAAAACATATCGAACTTTATCGAATATATATTTTCATAAGGAATGTTATTTTAATAGCCGCTATTGTGTCGTCTAAATACAAAGTATGCGTTTAACTGAAAATTTTGTTCAGAGAGAAAGCGAGAGAGGATAATTGCACTTGTTGCATCTTTTGAACGAGGCAAATGGTCACTTCTCGACGTTTAAACAAATCGTTAGCCATTTGGTACACGCGTTTTAATTTGCTGTATGTGTAGCATCGTGAAATCGTGCCTCGCGATTTTCATTTAAAGCGGCAAAGGAATTCAACTGTGGTGGAATACTGGACAGAACGCTTTTCGATAGTCGTAATTACCTCGAGCTTTAATAACTTTTCAAGCTGATGTTTCGCAATTTGTATTTTACATTTGTTTCTACTTATACGCGAATATACAGATTCCGAGAAAATATTCCGAACAAGGAAATATTTCAAATAACTCTCATACAAAAATGTTATTTTCTATGATTATTCCAGAACGTATCTTATTCCCAAAATCATCGTAGAAGGTGATAAATCTTTTGGACAATATCAACTTCCTTTTCTCTAATTATAATTCCGCGATAACGTTATCCCAAATTATTTGATATCCCTCCGATAAATTATAGCGTTGAACGTAATTACAAAGCTTTTCAATTACTGTTATTTCGACGAGAAAGGAACACTGGAAAAATTGCGAACGAGACGATAATTTCGAAGATGGAGCTGGACAATTCAATGGAACGAAAAACGTACAGCGTTTTAAACGCAGCTTCCTCTTTATTTACCTCAACCGAGATATCCACGGATGAAAATACTATGATAGCATTATTGTCATCGATAATAACTATATCGGGAAGCTCATTAGCAGGCCATGGGTGCCGAGCTATTATTATCCTCGTCGAAAATCACCGCTCGTTTTCGGATAACGATCACTGGGCCGGTGATCGTAAAATAAGATACGCTTGTTCGAGCATCCGTTCCACTGGTTTTATTGGCGACGCTGCATGCGTTACAAGAGTGAAACATAAACGTAATCGACTGCGGATGAATTATGAGAGAATTGATATAGGAACCTCGAATTTGGTTCGATTAATAATGGGATAGCACGTTAATTGAAAATTTTCGCACGATGTTGTTTGAACTTGAAAACATCGCGAAAGTTCAAATTTGCAAGATCTTTTTGGCTATAACAAAAAGTTATAAAAGGTAAAAGAACTACGATAATAATTAATAACGGGAAAATGATATAGATGAATAATATTATTTGAAAATGGAAAATATATATTATAAAAAGGTTAGATTTTGAATTAAAAACGTCCTAACGCGAAGAAGAAACAACCAACTATAATTATCGTAATGTTATTTAAAATTTCAAGAAATGTTTTAATTTCATTTTTCTTATTTTTCGACTTAATTATTTAAAACGTGAATAAATTATTGTTTCGAGCGGAGATATAAACGGTTTTTTCCTCTTTGCGTTGTTTAATTAATCAACAACCAGGAGAGACATTGTTCGTTATTTCGTGTTACATATCCTTGTTTTAATACAAATATTACTTTAATTATAACAAAATATTATATGTTTTTGGACATAATAATTGATAATACCGATATGATATTCTCCTTGACAAAATGAAATTATTCGATAAACGATATATAGAAAGAAATTGATTAAAATCCGCGCAATCGGATCATAAACTCTTCGAAAAAGTATCCGGAAACATTATAATATTAAACGAGCACAATACTAATTGGAAAATTGGCCGATTTAATTATCTCAACAGAAATGATCGTAATCATTTATAAACTTCCGCTCGTGAATCCGATAATGATTACTGATAAAATCTCATTAGAAAACAATAAAACAAGGTATATCATTACTTTGTAATTATATATTTGTAGATTCGTTATTTCCATATTAATGACAGAAGAGTAATTATACTTCTTGCGTATTATGACCAAAGCTTTCAGAAATTTTCTGAAATAAATTGCGAGTGAAACCAACAGCCTTGAAATATTCCAGAGAGTTAATTCCATATTTTAAAAATAATTAGTACGTGGGTCTGCATTTAGATTTTAATTTTCCTTACGTTCTAGAAACTTTTTCGCTCCTTAAACTTTATCTACTCTATTCGTTTCATACGTTTCATTTTTAATACTCAAATAGTCTATTCAATTTCCTTTCTTCTAAAACATTTGACAAATTTACTTTGCAAAATTACGATATTCGTATATCCTACTACGAACTTAAGAACAATTTGAGCATACTTTATCATTTAAACTCCATTTCGCAATACTATACTATAAACTAATATTCGCAAATACAGGATGGAACGAAAGTTATCTCTTAATCAAACTTCATTTTAATTTTGTCGAAAACAAACTAAAAAATCGAAGATCATAGAATCCATAATATTCATAAAACGTTGTAACGTGAAATATAATTTTTAATTCACCATGAGACATCGGTCCCGATTCTTAAATCATCGGAACTTCCAAAACGCGTATGACTCATTCGTAAGCCAAATCGATCGACTCTGGTTCCTGAAAAATTCTTAATTTTAGTATCAACCTGACATCTGTGGAAACGTTCATTTTCCAGATAACAAGTCATCTCTTTTATTACGATCGATCGGTTCTCGACTTCTGTATGGTCCACGTAAGAGTATTTTTGGATCGATCGGTTAGCAAAACTCTCGAAAAAAAAAAAAGAAAAAAAAATTTCCCAAAAGCCGCTTAAACTCAAACCACCATTGGTGTCTCCAAATCGTCGCAAGAACATAGAACTGGAAATTCCCCGAACCAAACGCAGAGGACAAGCTCTCTCCCACGAGGAAGAACAGCTGGAAAATCGTGAGAGCGTGCATTTACAAAACTAAAACTCGGACGCAATTTGTGGTTTGCGGATGGTGTTTCGCGGACGCCAAATCGCGGCGAAAACGGAAACGAGGGACGACCGAAACGGCCGTTTCGTCGACTAATTTTAATCACTGCTGATTTCGTGGTTCGCTCGGCTGTTTGTCGAGCAAATTGTTCCCTGGAAATCGGCGAAAGCGTCGAGACCTCGAATCCACCACGCATTCAAATCACCGCCGCCACTCCCGTTTAACCGTATGCTGATTGCTCGACCACCGAATTGTTTGTGTTTTTTCCCAACAATCCTTCTCCCGTATTTTTATTTATTTATTTTTTTTTTTACTCTCTTCATGCTCTTGTATAAATTTTTAACGCGTTCCAGCATTCCATCGATCCCCCGTATAGGATACCTCCCTTTTTCCATTCTAGTTCGACTTGTTCCTTTTTTTTCTTCTCTTTTCGTCGATTCTTTTCTCCTTGTGCTCTCGTTCGGCAACGAACAACGGAGCTGTGGAACTCAAGCAAAAAACGTGTAAGTTTGGAAGTTGGTCTTTATTGGACGGAGAAAGAGTTTCGATGGGATGAGGCAGTCGTGAGAAAGAGAGCAACGGATAATCGATGGAGGGCTGGCTGGCTGCCTATGCAGATTGGGATTGGTTTGCAAGAATGTGGAAAAGTTGCTCTTGATTTCGCGAAAATAAGGGGACAGTGAGAGCGGATTTATGTATTGCGCGATAAGAGCGTTTTCTTATTGTTTTCGCTGCTTGAAACGTCATATGAGAAAATCTTATTTCATACGTTTGATCCGCTTTTTCACATTGAATCGCCTCGTTGCCGATTGTACCATCAATGCTAAGATACCCTGTGTATGTGTGTAGAAAACAGCGAGCAACGATGTTAAAACAAACGTTATTAATATAATTGATACTGGTGTTAACATATTTGTGTTTGTAAGTAAACTACCTTTTGTTTTATCATTTTTCTACGCTATACTTAAAATGTTATTAAGCTGGAATATTTTAGAAATTGTACCATACACCCAACAGGATACGCAATTTGTCGTACCCTCTTAATAATTAGTTTGCTACTCCTTTATTTGCCCTACGCACGAACGAATAAACAACAATCGGATTTGCCAAATGCAAAAAGGTAAAACGGGTCGATGAATTTTTTAGACCATTTCTTTACTTGCATACCCTATATATTGACAATTTAAGAATATTTTGTTCCATTACTTGACATATCTAGTTCCTAAAAATTAGTTACGACACTCCATATTTTTTGCTGGTGTTAGAATTTAATCTCGAAGTTAAGATAAATAATCTGTGGAAGACGCAATGTTTATATCGAAATAATATTAGGTGATATTTAATAAACAGAATTACAGAACCAAATGTATTTAAAACATAAGTGAGTGATATGGTATAATTAACAAAGTGTGCAGGTAAAGAATTTATGGATTGTCGACAGTTGGCCAGTTGCTCTCAGACTGACTGTACGTAGTGACCCATGGTCCCTTAAAAGATTTTCAACCCCACTCTCTATACAGTAGTGAGTATGACCTGTGTAAGTGTCCCGTTCAAATGCCTGTGTAGGTGTCTATATAAGACTATTTGTGTCTATGTGTGTAATATCGTTGTATTGCAACAGCTGGTAACAACAAATATACGAAGAGATCTGCTTACTCAAGATCCATACATCAAGTACAATTTTTTCGAGCTAATGTTCAACGTTAAATGAATTCCGTCACGCGACACGTTTCCACTTACGATCGACGAGAATGCGGTAGACGCGAGTTACAAGTAGAGTCAGAAAAGAGAGTAGGCCAGCTTTGTCGGTTTGGAAATCCGCGAAGGAGGCCGGGTTTCCGTGTTTCGTTCGAACGGGAAAAGTTACAAAGGATTTGAAAATAGAACCCGATCCCGTTGCATAACGACGCCGATTCGAAATAGAAAAATGAGAAAGCAGCGTTTCGCAAAAGGTAATACGCGTTGGTCTTGCAAATTTCTCTTTGACGATCGACATTCGACCAGCACCTGTGTCACGATCGATGTGATTCACTGGGATGACGAGGATTTGGGAGGAAAAATAACCTTTGGGCTTCGTCAGAGAATCCCAGTTTTGCCAATGCACCGGGACATTGCAACAGCTGTACGAACTAAATCTTTGCCATTTCATTCCCATATTTTGGAATAATTGAACTTCCCATTGAAATTATCGAGTTTCTTCAAGTTGTTTTAATAATCTTCGCGATTGTTACGTGATTCTGTGTTTGAAAATGCATTAAAACGCACTCGAAGTTACTGAAACTTCGAATTTAACGTTTCAGAAATTCGAATTAATTCGATTGCGCACTTTCGAGTCTGCGATCAAACTGCGAGGTGTTATCGAAATAAAATGCGATAATGGAAATAAAGAGAAACAAAGGAAAGAGAGCAATTGGATTCGAACTGTACTTGGTGGCAAATATTTGAACGATTTAGTGAACAATATAAAACGCACGATGGATGCGTGGTCAGGTGACGAAAGGAAATAATGAAATTTTCGAGCTACGCTTTTGTTTGACGTTCGTGCATCGAACAAAGCGTACTGTAAATAACGATATATTTTGCGCGATACTAGGTACGCGACTCGTAGTTACGTTTAAGATGAAACGGTGCAACATCAAACATTGCAACTTGCATCGAACATCCAATTCATTAAAAGGAACTGAAATGGAAAAACTAAGTTTAATCCAGTAATCTTCGTCGACGCGAGTATAAAAATTGTGTTTCATGTTCGATTTCTGCTAATTTAATATTCGCAATTATTTCGAATAAGTATTAAATCATTCGGAAGATTAAATCGTTCTAATTATATCAACTTAATTATATTAAACGTGTACTCGTGAAAAAAACAAAGTGCTTTCAATTACAGAGATGAATAAATATAAATACACGCAGCAACAAATATAAATATACTTTCATTAAAATAGTAAAAAGGACGAAAAATAACCTAAGTTTGTATTAACGCCAGCTGGTCGCCCGCACAGCTTTTATAACAATTTACGTTTATTAGTCTCTGTTCGAACACCGTTTATACGTTGAATTTCAAAAAACGCGCCAACAAGCGTTCGTTTATTTTTAATTAGGAGTCCATACGCTGAATTTCACAGCCCCAACTTCAGCAACTCGTGGAATATGGCTAACTCTTAAAAAAAATTGCACCCCCTTCGTTTTACGCCTCACGACTGTCCCATAAAAAGTAGCATACTATCCATACTTCACGATTCTACGTACAGCCATTTAGGCTGATAAGTATACCAGTCACTTTTGCATTTTATGTACATTTTATACACAATCTTCAAATTGAATCTCCCCGAAAACTAAGCCTCGACCGAGAAAATTATACTTTATATTTCCTTCTTATTTTTTACAGGAAATCGCTTCCTACTCGTGACGTATTATTACGACGTACTACTACTTTGACGTATTATTCGGTCGCGTTATGTATACATGTTGAGATTATTTGATGTGTAAACAGAGAAACCCGTGGATGAATTGTAAGGTAGAAAATATATTTAAATAGAAGTGTAATTACAAGTAAGAATACAATTTGAGCTGGTCCAGATCCGCACGTTAGCTGTGTTACCCAATAACTGAAAACTCCGAAGTCAACGTCGCCTGTCTACCGTTTATGGTCTGTCTTCGTCCCAGTCTATTGTTTATACGCTGTCGATGGCTTCGGTGCTTGAGAAAACTAAAAAGACCAGATGCAGAGTTTTCTTAGAAGTGGTGACCACTTCAACAATACACGTCGTATTAAAATAATATAGGTGTATTACAATTGTTGTTATTTTTGTATTTAGAGATAGAATTACGATAATTATTATTTTATTCTTTGGATAAATCTATCACACCGTTCTGGGCCGAAAAATCTTTATTGCACTTTTTTACATGGACTAGGTATAAAAAAAAGAGAATATCTTAAACCTATCGATTAAATCCATCGATTATATCTAGAACTGTCTATTCTAGTTACTATTTATTGCAACTAGCGCATCTGCATATGCATGACGAGCGCGAACTCGCGTTGTCATTTTCAACAACAATCTTGCCATATAAATACATTAAAAGCGTCCTTATGAAACGTCCGTTTTGTCTCCTTTCGCTTTCAGTTAGAATATCCAGTGTCCGCGTCGTGTAAATCTCGTCGACGTTCAATCAATTCATACCCTGGCGCAGTTATTGAACCGAATCGGATTTGCG